ATGTAGATGAAGGGAATTATGTTACACCGTTCAGCACATAAGAGACCAAGTTAATAAGACAAATAATAGCTTAAAACAGCAGGGAACGTAAATTGTATGCATTATAATATGTAAAATTTAGGAACTAGTATTTAAAAACTGTAAAGATGAAATAATAATTGCAATTAGAAAATAGGCAATCGACGCCAGAGTATAGGCGAATTTTGACGTGAAAACCTCTGCAGAAGATCCATAAATATTTCATTATGTCTGACGACCATACGCTTAGAACACCTAAAAGCCAATATATTCGGAAAATGAGCCATTTTCGGATACTAACTGTGAGAAATTTGCATATTTGAGCTCATACAACATCGTGCGGGAATTTCTAATAGGGATCTCGAAATTGACCTTGTGCATCATAAGAACTCAGTGCAAAGTTTTAGGCAGGTACTTTGTGTGTCGTTGAGTAGATTAGCAGAAACAGAAACAACTTAAGTAAGAACTTAAATGATATTAATCTTAGAGATTAAAGATTAAAATATACCAATATCAGATAATGCTAGTTAGGTATGACCACAAGGACCAGGGAAGTTGAGAGTGGACTCGATGATTAGCCTAGTTTTTATCGAACCGGTCAAGACTAAGACACGATCTACAAAGCAGACTTTCGAAAGAGTCGTACAGAGGAAAGGATGGGGTTTCCATTTTACTTCCTCCGCGACCTTTGCTTCGTACGGAGTGAAAGTAGTGTACGTTTCCGTCCACAACACAAAGCCCTCGCGCACAGGCGGGTGGTCGCTCCTCACTCCGGAGGCCGGCTGCTCCTCGCAGATGTGCGCCCGCGCACACATGAGCTCCCCGAACGGCGGGCTCCCCACGCTTTACCGAAGGGCTGGCAGCTTCCTGGCTTGCAACGCCACCCTTCACTTGTGCCAGGGAGACGGGCGAGAACCACCACGAGGGGGCACAGGCCACACCGGCGGCCCAGTGCCTTTTCCGTTGAGCACGTCTCCGTGCTCATGATCAGAGTTCAGTAGTATAACTCAATGCGCTTCGCGCAGTGAAAACACTGCCTTCGGCACATTCGTCAGTGAATTAAGTACGCTACTTGTCTTCGACGAGCAGCCAATAAACGGGTTGTCGCCGCATGTAGTCATACTGAATCTGTCATCGGCGGATACTACAGTGCGGTAAGAGCAGACCCTACTCACACACCGAGACCGTGTGTGCCGCACGCGCACTCCTGCTGCCAGGGCCTACCTAGGGCCGTGGAGACTCTCCGACCAGCGAACTGTGTGGGACGCCTGCATTCCTGCTTCGCCCGGGAGAGGAGCAACCCTGAGGTCCACGCAAGCCGCAGCCACACATCAGGTATTCGGCCACGCCGTGTGCCCATGGACACAAGTTCACTACGTTACCATCACGATGAGAAGGAACATCGACGTCGTAACATACATTTTGTATATTAATTGTATTTAATCTTGTTTCATTCACATTTCATCTCCTCATTTCACGTAGCATATCATTTAATATTAATAAAACGTATGTGCAATGAAATTCTTGTAAATTTGTCATCCTCCGCCTCCCTTCTTAACCAGCGCCATCCCTCTCCCCCCCGGGCACCTCACGTGCGGTGTACAATTTACTTTGTATAGAGAAGGGCCTTTCAGTCTGCTAGCGCCCCCCTCTCCCCGTTCAAGGTATTCTTCCCCCTGCTCTGTACAGTGTACACGTGCGCAATTTTCGACCGAAAATATCTTATTGTCGGACCTTGTTTACAAAATGAGAATAAATCATTTTTATTATATGAAGCAAATTACTTCCTCTAACACGTTGTGTAGACAGAATCCATGTTTTGTGAGCCATCGATCCAGAAAAGTTAATTCACGGGAAAACGTCTGTCAGCCTGTCAACGCTAGCCTCTAAACCGTTTAGACGGTTTCGTCTGAAAACTACCTAGACAATATGATCATGTAAGTTTTTTTCGACAAGATTAAAGGTTTTGGAGTTATTTTACGCGTGAAATATTGGTAATTTTTAAACAATTACGTTCTCAAAAAATGTCCAATATTTTCTTTAATTTTTTCTCGTGTGTAATAAACAATGCTAAAATCAGTGGTGCTAGTCCAATTTCCGGCGAGTCGGTATTTTTGAATATTGCAAAAAGTTAACAAAAAACGGGCAGTATTCATTATAAAGATTTTTTTCTTAAGGAAAAGGTCATGAACAACTATTGGCAAAATACAGTAGTTTTCGAGCAATTTCTGTTCGACGTTAATGTAAATTATAAAAATTCTAAAAAACGGCTCTAATTTTTATAGCAATAAAACAAGGAATGCTTAAAATAATGTCGTAGATATAATGTTCTTTGAATTTTTCGAATTAAAAAAAATTTAAACAGTTATAAATAATGCGATAAAAGTATATGCTGTTTTGTACTAGTTTGAGGTGGTGATCTCGTCAACCAGTTCAGAGGCTGTGAACTTTTGAAAGATTCGCCAAGGCAAAATAAATCCATTATATGAATCTTATATTATTTTTTCTTCCTAAACTCTGTCTAGTTAGTTACGAATGACGTTTTCACGTAAAAACGGTAACGGGTGTATTGAGATATACAAAAATATCATGCTGTCCATCATGTTGTGAGGAGAGTAAGTGGAAACTTCACAGAAAATGAATTAACTGTCGGGCGAGAAATAACGCTGTGGCTGAGCGTAAGTGTGCAGAGAGCGTACAAGAGCTTATGCTCTTGTACGCTCTCTGCACACTTGTCGTTTTTACGTGACAACGTAAATATTAAATACTGCTGTTAGAATTCGCTGTATAACCAGCAATCTAGTTTATACTATAATTGCATACTCGCCTTCGAGAATGTGTACAATTAATGTTTTGTGTTTCGACTAATTCTCCTGCTGCCCAATTGATGCGATATCTACCGGCTCGCGGTGGTTCTCCGAGTTGATAAGAAATCTGCTACGGTAAGTTAGGAGCTGGGTAATAGCTCAACCGAGACATATTAACAGTCCGCTGCCTTCTCAGTCAGCTCCCAACAACTACCTTAACCCATTAATGCTCACGGTAATTTTGTGCACAAATCGCTCTCCCATTGTCGTCGCGTTCGTTCGCGCTTTGATTGTTGGGGAAGCTCCGTTAGCACGTTTTTGCAACTTTTTGCGCTAAATCATAGTAATGTTGATAAGTTATATTACTAGAGCTTTCCAAGGGGCCTTAACATCTTATGCAACCCTAGCTGAATATTCCCCGTCAACGTCTGTGCCGCCAACGAGCTAGAATATACTACGTAGAGTGACAGAAGCGCCTCGATGTTTGTAGCGAATTGAAGTCATTTTTTTGCCGTTAAAGTAGCGCCCTCTGTGAAACGAAGAATTTTAGCATTACGTTTGGCGCAGATTAAGAAGGCACGGTTTAGATGAAGATTCGAAACGACTCAAGTCATTCATATGCCCTTGCCAAGAGTGTGCTATGCCTTTAGCAATCTCGGCTAAATCAACATCTAGCAATCAGGAATGAAAAACAAAAACTTGCTTATATTTTGTACATGATTTCTAGCGTCTGTCTGCTCTGATCGGTAGTTTTCGGAGGTTTATCCTATCATCATCAGACGATTGCCGGAGCAGTACCACCGGGCCAAAGACCTCGCGCGAACTTTCTTTCTCTTCCTTTTCTCACCTTCTACTTACACACATTAACACTTACATGCACTACACAACCACACAGACAAATCAGGAGCTAAGAACTTGTCCGGGCTGGGGCGGCGGCCCGCTGGTGTGAAAAAACATGTTGGAGAAAATATAGCAAACCGACAGGTAAATCGGAGCAGAATCTCGCCATCCAGGGGGGAATGATCACCGCCACCTATCGCAATAAAACATGCACTACATTGACGGGACCCTCGACATTATATGTTAACGCGCCCGGACTCACCAATCAATCAATGAACAGTTTGTTTGTTCTTAAAATTTTCAGTTCTTTCATTCCACAATTTAAAAACGACATAATAAAATTTATTATTATTTTAATGAAATTAAATTATGAAACTACCAGTTCGTTAGAGCTTAATTCGAAGCTCACATTCATTAGTCAATCCATGCTATATAAAATAAATTGGCATTGTTGACTTCCAGTGAGAAGATGGACATCAACAGTAAATATAACGATGCCATCAAAATGGATTTCGTGCATTTGCATGTTTTCGATCACAACTCTTTAAATGATTCCAAATTAAATTTTATATAAATCCTTCAATTTTTCTATATTGTGATAATGATTATTGGGATTCTTGTTGAATTTTATTTTATATTCTTATTTAAAAACTGGAATAACCCGATACAACGTACAATGATAATAATAAATATTCTTACCTTGCACATAACACGCAGGAGACATTCCAGGAGAATGAGAAGAGCTCTTCATTATTCATACCGTATTTTTTAGTGGTAGGTATTACCTACGTGTTATTAACTAATTTTGCGTTATTGCTCTACAGAAGCGTAGTTTTAATCTTACGTTTTAATGTAACATATCGCGATCTAAAAATTTTACAAACTGAGTATTTAATGTTAATTTAACGACTTTGTTGAATTAAAAATCTCTTAAAATTATTAAATAATTTCATTATAATACACTGACTGAGTGATATGTGTTGTAAACGCCTGTATATTAAATATCTTTTCCAACTTTTTACAACACAATTAATCATTCAATTCAAAATATTTGATAACTTCATTCTTTCAATTCAAGTTCCAGCATTTCTAAAACCATGCATATATCTAGGCACTACATTTGAAAATTGTCACGTGTTTGGTATAGTAAATGTTGAATATGGTGAGGGAAACACCAAACCCAGTATTAAATATCGTAACTTTACATTATTATGAAATAAATTAGTATGGCTCTGACTAAACTACAGTGAGATTGAAACAGCTACTAAAACACTATTTGTTATGATCAATTCAAGGAAAAGAAGTTAGTGGATGGGACAGATAATGAAATGGTAGTTTTTTTAGACATCATATCACAGTTCCATCTTTAATAAAACTCTCATTCTCTCCAAGCCAAAACATCAAACATCCTTGATACAATATAAATAACAAAATAATCAGGAAGTGCTGCACACCACTAGGCATAACATATTTACACCACGTTGCCTAAGGAATAGGCTTCGATCCAATATAACGTTCCTCTGTCAATCAAGGCACTACCACAGAACCACCACCAGCACCACAGTCCTAGTAGCAAGCATTCCTCCACCACCGTGAGCATTAAAATATGAAGGGAGCAGATCGATCATTTGTCGTAGTTTTTCGTAGTTTCACCGTCGCGAATACGTTGGTTCTGTAAAATGAAATCAGGAATTGAATGTTAGTAGTAAATATGCCACTACAGGAAAAATGTTTACAGTCAAAGATTAGACATTCTAACAAGGAAGTAAAATACCTTAACCGAACCTCTTAAAGCAGAAATAAGGTTAATAATTAAAGTATTCACAAGTGTGTAAAAGGAATTTAGTTAGAGAGAAAACAAGTATTTGGAATACACTGTTATATTTAAAATGACAGTAAATATCTTATACAACCCAAGAAGTAATCAAGGCACAAATATCAAGAAACGATATAGGTGAGATTACAATACATTGCATACAACTTGAAAAAATGTGATAAAATATCTTTTGTGTAAAATAGAAAGAAAGTAATTGATAATGAAGCATTAGCTATAAATGCAAGATATATTTAATGATTATATACTGATACACATTACAAAATTCATTGATTACATACATATCAAACATTATAATACATGGTATACAACGATTATATTTCAGATATATGCCATTAAAATTATACACTGACAATATAGTACCATTGAGAGTACTCTGTAGCCATTCATGAAATGGCTACGATACTCATTTCTCATTAATAAAAAATACATTTGAAATCTACGCGTCCGAATTAGTGTCATATAAATTCTAATATTAGTGCATTAATACATTTATAAAAAACTATAAATGAAATTACAATAAACACATTTAGCACATGGTATATAATAAAACATATTTAGCACATGATTGATAATAAAAACACTAGACAAATATGGATGCAACGATGATATAAAATATAAAACAACTATAACGTATTTAACATGGGATGATGGATGGAAGAGAACGGTTAAAAGCGCGGGCTCAGTGCCTCTCGACCACGGAAGGGTCCATGCCCCAGAGGTCGTACCAGGGCCCGCAGCGGTTTCCCGTCGTTTCCGACTTCTGGTCGAATCGCGAGCCTCGATCGGGCTTGCTGAGTCGCTTCTGCAGCGAGCGGCCGTATTGCAGCAGGCCGTCGCCGGCGCCGTCGCTTGTCGGGCTGCTGGCGTCCTGCTGGGTCTTGCGTCTGGGCGCCTTCCGCGCGCCGTTGGTATGCCCGTTCACCACGGCGTGCCCGTTGACGCCGTTGTGGTTGGCGTGCCCGTTCACGCCGTTATGCCCGTTGACGCCGTTATGCCCGTTCTGCACGTGCCTGGGCCTGGGCTTGACGAGTCGCGTGCGCGGCAGGAGGCTTCCCGATGCGTTGACGGGTGCATCTGTTTCCTCCATTTCCTCGGCCTGCCTCCTCATCTGCTGCTGCTGCTGGTCGTGTTGGCGACGCCTCTTGAGGGAGGACTCGCGCATGTGGTCGTCCACGACGATGCAGGACTCGGTGTCGGCGCTGTCGCTGGAGTCGTCGTCTCCGCTGCTCTCCGTCGCGGTGTCGTCGTCCACCTCCGACGAGAAGGACTGCTGGAGCAGGCCGTCGTCGTCGAGGTCTCTGGGGCGGCGCGGCGTTTGGCCGTTCGCGCCGTCGGGGACTTGGGGCGTGGCGCGCGCGCTCTCCCTGGGGGCGTCCTCCGGTTGGGGAGCGGCGGCCCCGGGGCTGGCCTTGGCCTTCCCGTTGGGCAGCTCGGCCTCCACGGCGGCGTTCACGTCGATGAGCGAGCGGTGCTGCCACAACGCCATCCCCTCCAGGATGTCGTCCTTGGCGCGCTTGAACTTCCAGAGCGACTTGCTGCGCTTGACGAGCGTGCCGCCGCCGTAGCTGGCGTCGTCGCCGTGCGGCGTGGGGCGGCGCGGGGGCGTGGCCAGGGCATCGTGCGAGGCCGACGCGCCCTTGGGCATGGAGAGGCGGCCGAGCGTGGCCAGGTGGCCCACGCTCGACGCCTGGCGCATGGCGAGCGGCCGGCTGGCTGCGGCGCCGCTCTTGCGAAGCGGCGCGGGCTTCTTGCCGCGGGGGCTGGGGCCCGACGGCGCGGGGGGGCGCGGCTGGTGCTGGCTGTTCACGTCGTCCATGAGCTCCAGGGCCGATTTGTAAAGCAGCCACCCGCGCACGGAGGAGAGCAGCTTTTTCTTCCCCGGGGCGCCGTTCCCGTTGGCGACGGTGGCCGCGCCGTTTGGACTGCCGGCCGGTCTGGTGGAGACAATTGCAAAGCCAGGGGTTGAGTCTTCGGCCCAAATGGTTTAGTTTTACGTTTTCCTTCACCTGAACGTGCTTTGAAGACCACGCCACCAGGAGTTCTCGCAACAGTTTTTGTGAGTGGCTTGTCAGGCATGCAGATTCAGCAGCTAAGTTTGGAAGGCACTGAAAACCCAACCGTTACCTAGAGGAAGGTTATTCTATCCAATATACTTAAAAGTTATTTTGAGCATAAAGGTATTATTTTTTACTACAAAATTTGATTTATGTTTAATCTCACTTTCCAACGTTCAGACATGTTACTCACAACATTCTCCAGTAACTGTACTGTAGAAGAAAAAACAGAACATGCAGTAGCAGTATGAACAAAAGATTCGTATTGTTGATATCCATAGAAAAATTCCGTTCACCTTCATGCTCTCTTGCATAAATAGAATTAACAAATAAGCAGTGCACATTCAAATATCAACGCTTCAAAACAGGAGAATATCTGGTATTCTCACAACGTAAAAATCTCTTTTATGTCATTTATTTTGAAAGTTAATTTCTTTCAATAGCTAGTTATTTTCAGGAATTTAATTATTTATTTCAAATACCATAGCGGTTTATCAACTGAACCGACGGAAATGAATGTATATTATAGGTGGTGATATAATTATTGCCATTCATATGCACTCATCCCTTTATTTGTTTTATTTAGCCAGGGTGTTCCAAGAATTTACAATTTGTAATTGTAATTTAACTATTTTCTAATGATAAATACATTTTATATTATATTCAACAGAGATCTAAGAACTTAACTAACCTAGTAACTTAACTGACTCTTCTAAGTACATCTCGCATAATATGCTAAAAACGCACGTGAATATGAATGAATATGGAGAAATCTATTATTAACACTTTAAGAACACATTATTTATCTTGTTGCCCAAATATACAATATTTTTATACATTCGTCAACACTCAGCACGGGAATAACTACAAAGCGTTACGGAAATGTAAATTCGTGTTAAATTGTTAGAGAATCACGTCAAAATCTTATTTAGTAAAGCTTGCCTAGTGTCTAAGTATTATGTGATCAAAATTATTCCAAAACCACAAATGTAGTTGACTAATACTAATTTAAGCTGTTAGTAAACGTTTGCGCATGTTATAATAGAAATCACAGGATGGGATCTTGTCGAAGAAATATAATGTTAGACCATCCAATAAACGAGGAAAGTAAAAGGGAAGGGAAGGGAATATGAATTAAAATTAAAAAAAAAAATTGAGTGTAGTAGGGTCTGATTTCCGTTTTATAAATAAAACAAAATATTCACAGAAAAATATTTTGTTGAGAGTTAATGCAGAAAAGAAAGGAGAGTTAGATTCGAAAGGACACTAATGAACCTTAAGGAAATGCCGGGAGAGTTCGCAAGGAAAGAAGGTGAATTAAGAAGCACTTTTTCCGTATATTTTGTTGTGTAAATTTATACTGATTCGGAACCGAAAGAAGATAATTGAAATCTGGGACCAAGCCGATTGGACGCACGCCAGCAACATGGGCACCATCGATCTTCGCAAACGACAAATCCAGAGCTTTCGTACGGGAATCGAACACCCGGTTTTGAAAATAACAAGCTGGCACGCTACTAATTGCTGTGAATTACTATGAGGTAATCAGTACGAGTTATTAGTAGAGCCAGGAAGAAAAGCAGACACCGGCATTCTTTCTGACTCTGGCGTAACATTCTAGCGCTTATGTCGCAGATTTTGTGGGAAGAAAAGTTCTTATCAAGACTAATGAGAGACAGAAATGAGAGAAAAAAAATTTCTTGGATCTTTAAAACAGGAGATATTAGAATCTTGCAAAGGGAACGTGAATACAACATATACTTCAAGGAGCTTTCGCCGAAGATTTTATGTTAAGGATCCATCCAGAAGTATATGGAACGAACTTAAGTCAGGAAATGCTTCGACGTTGTTATAGTGAATATCACTAGGCCGATGTGATAAAAATAAATGACGCGAATGAACTTTGTAAACGGAGATATTATCTAATCAAATAATCAACTCGATTAAAAATTAATCATCTCTATTATTGTGATGTCGGCCGGCCACAAAAAATCTTCAAAAGACGTTACACGTTTTCTTGCGGGAGATTTCATCCACCATCTTAAGCTGCAACTCATTTGTTTCGATGGTGCTTAATGGACGGCGGACTGTAAATGCTAACTGACGCTGGCAGTTAAGAGCGGTGTTTCGTTCCTCTGTTTGGTTTCGTTCAGTCATATAACAAGACGGTTTTACGAGAAGAAAATAAGAGATTATAAAGTACAAGAATGTCAGGGTGTCCTCCAAGGCGCTTTGACAGTCGATTCTTTGGCAAGCAGCAACGCAGAGTGGAAGAGAACAAATTGCAGAGGGCACAAATACGTGGACATTGTTGGTAAAATAAAAGGCTTGAAAGCAAAGAAAAAAAAGGACCTCTGCAGATTATATGGAATAGAGAAATTTAGTTTGGCAGGGAACAAAATGAAGATATCACATGAAGATACGACATGCTTGAACATGCTTAAGAAAATGGGTGCCTTAAAAGCAAGAGCACGAGAGTACAAGAGAGTCCGATTCTCTCGTAATGAGACGGTTAATGCTAAGCAACCGAGAGTGAAGAGAGGGAGAGAGAGAGACCGAATCTCACCTGGCGCTCTCGTCGTCGGAGTAGTCGACCTCGGGCTGCGGGGGTGGCTCGTTGCTGAAGCCGCTGTCGTTGCTGCTGTGCAGGCTGGCGCTGCCCACGGCGCCGGGCGCGCCGCCGCGCTTGCTGTTGCCCAGGAGCGAGGGCAGCGGCGGCATGGGGGGCGGGGCGCGCGCGCCCACGCGCCGCTCGGCCCCTGCACGCCCACGGCCCCCCCCCCCCCCCCCCCGGACCGCACGCCCCCGCCGCCAGGCGCCCCGCGCCGGCCCCCGGGCCGTGCGGCGGCGGCGGCAGCGGCGGCGGCCTGCGACTGCGAGTGGGAGTGCGCGGGCGGCACGCGCGGGGCGGGCACGGCGGCCGGCTGCGGCGGCGGCGGACCGGCGTGCCGGACGGCCGCGCCCAGCGCGTCTGCGAAACCACACGCCACGCTTCCGATGAAGGCGCAACGAAACGTTTTGAGAAAAGTATGCCATGTGGGCAAGTGACGAGTGACGTTTGAACGAGTGATCTGTGAACGAGTGAGAGTGTGAGCAAATGAGTCTGTGAACGAATGAGAGTGTAAACGAGTGAGCGTGTCAATGAGTGAGATCGTGAATGAATGATGCGTGAAGAGTGACAGCAGGAACAGTGACAGCGGAACGAATGACAGCATGAACGAGTGAGCGTATGAAGAGAGACAAATGAGCGCCGTGAACGAGTGAGAGTGGTGAACGAGTGAGCATAGGAAAAGAGTGAGTGAGAGAAATACTGAATTAGAGAGTATCAATGTGCGAAGTAATGAGTTAGAGAACGTTGAATGAGAGAACCAGTAATGAGTTAGAGAGTGACTGAGTTAAAATACGTGAGTAAAAAAGTGATGAGTAAATGAGCAGGACAATGATTTAGTGAGTAAAAGAATAAAACGGGTCAAAGAGTGGAATAATGAGAGGATAAATGAGAATGTGAGTGAATAGTGCGGAAATAAACCAGACAAAAAGTGACAATGTAGTCGACTGCTTCTAATTTCTCCAATCCTTCTCGGAGCTTGACTGACCTTGCGCGAGGCGCCGCGGTGCAGCAGCGTGTCTCCGAACATGGTGACGAGCCGGGGCGCGGGCCGTCGGGGCCTTGGCCGGCCAGGAGGGCACGGCTGCGCCTGCGGTGCGCGGCGGCGCCGGAGCGGCTCGCTCGGCGGCGGCGGCGGAGGCCGAGGCGGCGGCGGCGACGGCAGCGGCCATGGCGCCGGTGCCGCCCCCGCCGGACGAGGACGAGGAGGAGACCGGCGACGGCGCGAAGCCCGCAGACAGCCCGTTGGTGGGCGTGGCCGGCGTCGTGGCGGCCGACGTGGCCCAGTCACCGCTTTGCACGCGGTGCGGCGAGCTGCGAACGTGGCGAATAAGGCTTAGGATAGGCCTTAGGATGCGTTTAAGGTTATGTCTATGCTCTAGCATGGATCCTAGAATATCGTGGGGTGTCTTACAACGTACCTTGGGGTACGCCGTAAATGTCATACAATTTATTTATGCTTTTTCTTAAGATGAATCTTAGAATATGCTTCAGGTATGGTTGAAAATTTGCCGAAGACGTACTTTAGGATGTACCTTCGCTTATGTCTTAACATTCGACATAAAATATATTTTTAAACCGAAACTTATGGTATGCTTCAGAAAGTTCCTTAGGTTTCTTCTTTGTCCCTTAACGTTCATCTCTGTACGTGCCTAGGGATCTTTATTAGGATATGTACCTCTTGTTTTTTAATGATTTTTCTGCAATGCGGAATATCTATTGTATAAGCCAACATTACGTTTTAAAAAGCAATCACTTGCAAATGGTTGAAATATATTAAATGTATCTAGTAATTTATGGGTTTTGGGAAGCAAAAAATTTTAAAAAATACTTTTCTTGACATTATACGCGATATTATTCACATAGGAAATTTCAGGGCACACGCGCAGTTACAATCAGATCTCTCCATATCTCTGTCGGCTTGATTTCGAAGACGTCTTAATATTGAAGTCAGAAGGAAAAAAATCAGATGTGTGTGCGTGCATGCGTGCACTCACCCAGAGGGCTGGTCGTCGAGCAGCATCTCGGTGTAGGCGAGGGGGAACCAGCCGCTTGCCTGTGTGCGCAGGTTCTCCCCGAACTGCCAGCCCTTGTTGCGCTCCCCTGCAACAGCGCAGCGCAAGCGCCTGTCACGCCAAGAAGGCAACCCGCCGCACACTCGCGCGCTGCACGGCGCGCGCAAAGAAATGCAGGGGTATGGCTTTATACTGAATGGTCTTTAATTCGCTTCCAAAGGGAAAATAAAGTCGAAACATTGTAATTGTTGTAGGCTCCGATAACTTTCATGTATTAAGTACTAGTTCGTGTTCTAAAAATCGAGTGCCAAATGTGAATAGAGAGTTTGTAGGGGAATAATTTACAGTAATAAACATTTTTTGTGACATTTGTGAAGTTAACGTAAAAAATACATCTCAAAATTTAAAACTAAATTTGGTATAATTAATGAAAATAGATCATTTTTTACAATACAACCGGGAATTTCTGAGGTAATTATACTACATATGTATGGCTTTTTGAAAATTCTATCTTCGATTTCCTTCGTGTGAAGCCACATAATTTAAATAACTTCATCGCTCTATACTGCAGGGCAACAAAGTATAATAACAGCATTCAGCGTACACGAAGCGACTTCTCGTTGAGTTGATTGTAGTTAATTGCGTCAGTTACCATTTATGTTTACTTGAAATAACAAAGAATCTACATATACTTTCGAAATGAATATACCGGGTTCATCCAACTGAATACACTTGGCTAGCGCATTCGATCTCCCTTAATCCAACATATTGAATTATCAGAACAAATGATGCAATCTCATGAAAAGAACTTTGAGTTTTTGCTATTTAAGTTACGTCCAACCTTTCCAGACGTATAACTACAGTGAACACATCTACAGAGTTACCAAGTGATGGTATCTCGGGCATTCCGCTTCAGGTTGTTCCTCTGATATATCTACCTTACGAAGGAAACTTATTTTATAATAGAACAAACAATTATTTTTAGAGCTTGATTTTACGTCGGTCAGCCGTTTAACTCTTTCAGATGTTAGTTGAACACAAAATTCATAACACAATACTGACAAACAGTCGATAAAAATAGCACAATTTAATATCGAAACGACAAACGCAATCAAGCACCTGCAATTGATTTGGTGATACTTCCACGTGATACGTGAGGAAGGCATCGAGAGGGTACCGGTTTCTAAGTCTCCGGGTAAGGCGGTTTGAAAGATCTACTTGAAAAAGCAGAAAACCCGGAACTTTTTGCCCGTTAAAGGAGAAGAAGCCCGTTAAAGGAGAAGGAGGAGAAGAAGGAGAAGAAGCGGCGGCGATGGTGTGATGGTTAGCGTACCGGACTGTTATACCCAACCTCGAGGGTTCAAAGCCGATCGAAGCCGTGGATTTTTAGGGCGGACAAATCCTTCGACGCCTTCCTTCGGAGGGAGCAAAAAGCGGCTGTCCCATGTTAGTAGATTTACTTGCATGTAAAAATCATCCAGCCTAAATGACCGCCCCTGAGCTAAATTCAAATCGCCTGTTTCTCGCCCAAGAAATACCTCCTTTCTCCGATAGTTGATGAAAGAAGCGCTAGCAAAATTTGCGCTGGTCAGACGGAAGAGCGGGCCTGATGGCCGAGTCTCGCCACGTAAAATAAGGCAAATTCCAATTCAATTCAAAAGAAGTGACAACGGCCTGTATTCGGATTTCGGATGGAGGTGATGGTAGAAGGGGCGCTGGGGAGCGTACCTATAAGAGTGATGACGTCGCCCTCGAGGAAGCTGAGCTGGTTGTCGCCGCTGGACAGGTATGCGTAGAGTGCGCGTGCGATCAGGGGCTCAGATGGCGCTGCCATCGACTTGGGGCGAGTCGGGGTCTCCGGCTCTGAAACGCACAACACATCGCTGTCCTTTCCGGCACCTGATTCCAAAAGCATTGCATCTTTTACACTGAAAGACACAAAGAAACCGACACAATTTGTGATGATGCACCAAACAAAAAAGGTGATGGGGTACTTCCCGAAGCATGTTGTATAACTGAATGAATTCATTTCACAATTAACACATGCAATAATGTTCCTCGTTATATTGTAAAAAATCTGTTTCCTCCAGATGTATCAGTATTTTTACTTACAAATACTTATTAAATACTCGAATTAATTCACAAAAATATTAACTTCCCAGGACACACAATCTTATTCCTGCGTTCATTTTAACAACACTGAGTGTTAATGAAATATATGCTCACTTTTCGAGTACATACTCACTTTTTTAAAAATAATGTTACACTCATGATGTTTTAAATGGCTGTTATGAGAAGTGGGTCTCTTCTCTGAGCTTAGTACTTTATGTAAAATGCATGAGCAATAAAAGCCCTTTTAAGTCCCCGCAATCGACGACGTTGCAGTTTCAATTTAATATTCATTAAAACTTCTTACATTGACAGAAATATATGAAAGACATTTATAAAGTGATTATTTCACATGTAAAACTGCATAACATATCGAGTATTTCAAAATAAGCAAATTTTAAAAAATATATTTTTTATTAAGTGTAGTAAATTGTATGAAGAGGAAAAAAACTTCGTGACATCAGGAAATTCTGGTAAAACATGATGAGAGGAAAGAAACACGCACGGTGGAAAGGTTCGAGTTACGAAGGCTCGATTTATAAAGGTTGGTACTATGAAGATTAGAGGCATGAAAACTCGAGTTCAGGGAATTCGTGTTAAGAATGTTGGAGATACGAAAGTTTAAAAAATAAATGTTTTTATATAGTTCTGAGTTACAAATACTCTAATGATGGGGTTATAATTATGTCAGTTACAATCACAGGAGCTCCAGTGAAGCAGAATTAATTTTCGAAACTCTGAGTAAGTGTATTTGGTTGTTGACCTTCTTGTCTACTTTTATTATCTAGCATATTGTAATAAGTATTTAAATTTGATAGTCCAATCATTAGTGAATTAGAAGAATATTTTCCAATAATCAAATCAGAATTTTTGTAGACACTAAACATTTCAATGTCAGTCACATAGTGGGGACTTCTGTTTAATACTGAATTTAAAGTTGTATTAATTTTAGAGAGAATACACCTGATGAAGGTACCTCACAGACTCGAAACGCGTAGGGCCACAAGTAGAGTTTGACAGTTAGACGTTTGTCAAACTAACTGTTGGAAACTACTATCGAAGAAAGTGTAGAATTAAACTTATGAAATTTTGATGTGAATAAACATGTTGACGTTTTCATAAACTTTGAATTTGTTTCTTTTAAATAATCTTGCAAAATAACTGTCTACAAACTAGAATGTGTCAATACGGGTGAGTGAAACTTTAAATACTTCAAGAGACAGTGCAATTACTGAAAAAGTGAGGAATTCAGGTTCAATTCCTGAGGTTTCCATTTCTAAGAGTTATAAATGTCGGTACTAGGAAGATTTTAGTTATGAAAACTCCAGTTACAATGACGATTACAGTTATAAAGATAAGAGGTAAGACAGTTCGTGTTAAGAATGTTAGGGATACGAAAGCTTGAAAAAACAAAAAGTTTCGAGTCACAAAGACTCGAATGATCGGGGTTATATTTATGACAATTTCCGAGACAGGAGTTCCTGTGAAGCAGGATAAATTTTCGAATCTTCGAGTAATTCAGGGTTGGTTATGGAGACTCACCTTGAGCGAGCGAGTGCGTGGAGGCGGCCAGGTTGAAGTCGGACTTTGCGCGCGAGAGCGGCTTGAGCGGGCTGGCGGCCTCGTTGATGCAGCGCACGTCCAGGCACGACGCGTCCATGGACTTGGTCTTGCGCAGCTGCGACGCCAGCGACAGCCGGTCCTCCTCCACGTCGGGGCTGCGCGGGCTGGCGTACGCGTCCTCGTCGCCCCAGAAGCTCACTTGCTGCGCACACAAGTGTGTTTTTGAGAGCGAGAAAATCCTTCGTACGCCTTCCTTCGGAGGGGAAGTAAAGCCGGCGGTCCCATGTTAGTAGATTTACTTGCGTGTAAAGATTCTCAAGCCTAAATGACGTATCATCTGAGCTAAATTCAAATCGTCCTGTTTCTCGCTCAAGAAATACCTCCTTTTCTGCTGCTAGTTGAGGAAGGAACGTAGCGAAATTGGTGTGGTCAGACGGAAGAGCGGGCTTGATGGCCCGAGTCTCGCCACGTAAAATAAAGCAAATTCAATTCAATTCAATTCACAAACAAGGACAAAGCGGCGCTTGCCTCGATTCCCTTAGGACGGGCGTTTCGAAACCGCGAATACTAAAATCCTCACCGCGACAGTCTGAAGTGAAAACTGCCGGCGACAGTTCTTCCCCCCTTCCTGACCATCAGGTATCCTGATATGGCTGGAAGATTTAATCCACAATCAATTGAATCTACATGTACACGTATATATATATATATATTATATATATATATATATATATATATATATATATATATATAATGTACTCAATGTATTCATCTATCGATCGTGACAATATTATTTAATGTACTCTCAATGTATCGTACTCGGCTGCTGAAGGATTTCCGGTCGAGCAGAAATAATTTTTTTTAAATACTTATTTATTTAACGTCGAAAACACTTAAAAACTGTGTGTGACGTACTACAGGGAGATGTGTTTTTTAAATTCTGGGATCGCTACCCTACCCCACACACAAATTTAATTCTGAATACAGATGGAAATGAGCATGTTTGGCAAGAATTTATTTGAAAAATAGTTCCAATGAAATAAACACTACTTTCAAAGCAAATCTGCTATAGATAAAATGAAGTTTCAGTTCCTGTTGTTGATTAAGATAATATTTTGTTTTCCATTTATAGTTTGTATTATTATTAAAAACGAGTCTCTCAGCACCAGTTTCTAAATGCTCTTAATTTTTTACGATTGCATTATTTAAAAAAATTACTTGTAACTATTGGATTCATGTAAAATACTTGCAGGTGATTGTGCCGAGATACGAACTCATCCATGTCAGTGAAATAAGTTTTCATTATCTACAATATATTTACAAAATGAAAACAAATTCATTTGGTTAAAGATCCAGCAATTTATTTAATTCATTTAGCAAAGTTGCCGGTCGAGAGCAATGATATTGACGTTTCGACCCTCATATCGTGGGGCTTAAATGAAGACGACCACGTTATGAGGCTCGAATCATCGGCATCAGTACCCTTGTCGCGGCGTCACCGGGACAGCCGAGAGCCTTCACGTGACCCTGTCCGCGGAAGCCTTCGGTTGCATCAACGCAGACTTGAGCTGCCCAGCAGCGTCTGAGGAATGGACTCACCCTGAGGCGGCTGGCGAGCACGGACTCGATGGCCTCGGGCAGGAACTCGCGCGTGCCGGCCACGTCCTGCCAGCCGTCCAGGTGGCGCTGCAGGGTGGAGCTGCCCAGCGTGTGGTAGGCCAGGTAGTGCTTGGCCAGCGAGCACTGCCGCTCCAGCACGAAGCCGTAGCGCCGCCGCTCTTGCGTCATGGCCTGCGACAGCAACTCCCTCTCAACAACGGTAGCACTCCTCGAATCAGCATAAAGGGGATCAAGGGGATACTTCGAATAACAGGTGGTCAAGGGGAAAAACATGCTCGAGGTATGATAAGTTTCGAGTTATGCAGATTGGAATAATGACGACTCAAAACAGAGGTTTTTCACCGTCGTTCTTGCGTAATGATCTTCCCCAGGGAACCACCTTTCGTACTCTCCCTTTCCTGAACAAAATTATTCCTGATTGTAAGTGGAAGAAAGTGGTTGAAGGGGAAAATAACAGGCGGATACTTCGAATAACCTGTGTCCAAGGAAAGAAAAATACGCTCGTGGTATGACGGTTCGAGTAATGACGATTCGAGATAAGGGGGTGTTTTGAACCCGCCACTCGGCGTGACGGCCAACGCAACGAGGAACTCGCATCTCATGGACAAGATCATTTCTGATTTGAAGTTGAGTAAATTAGATGAAGGGGAAAATAACATGGGGTAGTTCCAATAATCGGCGAAATAGGAAAAAAACACGCTGGAGGTATGTATGAAGGTTCGCGTAATAACGATCCGAGATGAGATTTTTCAAACATTCAAAAAAAGAAGCATTTTACCACTTTTGTGTCATGCCCCGTTAAAATGTGAACTACTAGGAATTAAATTTTGTTTAAAGTATGCTCCAGATTTTTAATGACACCTTCAAACACATGCTGATGAATCATTAGATATTTTTCTATTTGGCTCAAATTAGGAAGACGAATTCACGTTTTAATGAAACGCAATGCATATAACAGAGTGAAAAATGGTATCTGGGAAAATGATAAGCAAAGAGATGCTTTTAATAGGCTCAAGCTATTCATGAAACATTTTGATCAAGTTTATAATGACAAAGATCTGATCACGTTGAGGCAGATGGCATACGTCTCTTAAAATATAATTCAGTGATAGTTTTCTTAGAGTATATCACCATTTCCTTACCGTTTTAAGACTCTGTTCACAGAATGCGTCAAGTTTTGACTTCTCTTCTTCCAAAACTTGCATGTTCTGAAAAAGTTAAAAACATGGGTTAAAATATAGAATTAAATTAACGATAATAATTTAAGACATTAGACAATGCAGTGCTACTGATAAAAGAACAGCCCAAAAGAAAATGAAGTTAAGCAAAGGAAAGAAGCTACATTAAAAAAAAATAAAGAGAAAGAATAGGGAAGAACAAAATTATAAAATAAGGGAAATAAATAAAAGAAGAGTACAAGAAACAAATGTAGAATGAAAGGGAAATAATAATGAGAAGCAAGTGAAAAACATAACGAGAAAAACCGAAAAGAAACGAATAAGTAAATACGTAAAGAAAAATGAAAAATATTAGAAAGAATGAATAATAAAGACAATGAAATAATAGAAGGAAAGAATAATAAAAAGCAAGAAAAGTAAAATGAGAGGACCGAATAGAAAGAAAAGGGAAAGGGAGGGGCAGGCACCTTGAGCTCCTTGTCCATGGCGATGCCGGTCTTGGAGGCGCCCTTGCTCTTCTTGCGCTGCTTCTTGATGGCGGCCGCCGCCTTGCTGTACGTCTCGGAGCGCTGCTTGTGCTGCTGCAGGAAGCGCTTCTGCTCGCTCTGCACAGCCAGAGTGAACGCGTTGGAAAAAAAGGTACAATTTCCTTTTGTTTAATAAAACAAGAAATTTCAAGGTTCATTTAGATATTTTCCTATGCATTCATTATTTCTTCCAATTTTCAGTTTGAATGTACGGGGTCCTAATTTTAGTGCACCAGGTTTCAATTTGAGATAAAAGTTATGATGTCTTACATAGTTTTGACTGAGCTACATAGGATTAAATTCCTCATCATGTACCTGAATTGGCAAAGTGATTGGAATGCAATAGTTTGGTGAGTAGCAATTCGATAGGATATAGATTGTAGAAGACGTATTATGTACTTCATATTATTAATTAACAAACAGTTGCGTTTAAAATAATGTTCATAATTTATTGCTTTAATTTATCAATTAGTGTATCATTGAATATTATATTATCGTTTTAAAATATTATTCACTCAGTGGGTACGTTCTTATAAAATGTGCGTTTATTTCTCGATTCATAATCGTTGCAGCTCACACATCCTTACAAGTGGACAAACTACAATTTTGAATAAAGTGATAAATCAACAGTTTTGCTTTAATTTTGTGAAGTGTTGAAATCACCCGACATAAAAAAATGCGGCTGGCCGTTGATTGGTCAGCCGCCTGCTCGAAGGGGTACCACAACAGGTCACTACAAGGGGTCTCTACAACAGCAGGGGCGGTCCACCCTACAAGAATATGGCACTCAATCTCAACCAGGAGACGGCCGGCCCCGAGCAAACGTCGAATTTCATAACTTTTCGTTTTTATACCATCTATTGTAAAATAATAATGTTAGGTGAATATAGGAGATTGTATATGTAAAAAAGTTGATACTTCTCCAGCTTCTTTAATTGTTAAGTTACTCATTTTTAAAAGGATCAATTTTTGGGCTCAAAATTGAACAGCAACGTTTTTTGGTATTCTATATCAATGCTGACTAAAACTTTGATCTCACCAGGGGAAGATCCTACATCAGTGAAGTGAAACGAGCAGAGAATCGTGATAAAGACGGAGATGGAGATCTCAGAGAAATCGAGAGAGGGAGAAAGAGGGTGGGAGAGGAAGGGATACGCGAGAGGGAAAAAGAGGGTGGGAGAGGGAGGGATAGGTGAGAGGGAAAAAGAGGGAGACAGGATGATCGAGAGAGGTTGGGAGAGGGAGAGAGAGGGTTGGAGATGGAGAAAGAGGGCGGAGAGGGGAAAGGGAAAAAGAGGGAGAGAGGGTGATTGAGAGAGAGGGTTGGAGATCGAGAAAGAGGGTGAGAAGAGGAAGGCAGGGAAATAGAGAGAGAAAAAGTGATAGGGAAAGGCAGAGAAAGTGTGAGAGGAAAAGGGGAGGCAAGGAAGTGGGCGGTTCCCTGTAAAAACTGTTTCCCCGCCTCGCAACTAAAACAACTCGCTGAAGGCTGCTATTAAATTATAATTACATTTTATGCACCCTCTTGGGCGAGTTAATGTCCCTCTTCTTATGGTAATGCCCCCATCGAGAAGGGCGTGCTGTTGCAGAACGAGGCGTGGTGCCGCGGCGTGGGATGGGCGGGGCAGGCGTTGAGGCCTGTTTATTCCATTCCCCAGCGTATTTAGGGTAGAGACGCCAAGCTTAACTGCATTGCCCCCACCAACCCTCACACAGAACGAGTCATTTTTGCAGAATTCGCGTCCTACTAATCCCGCCTCTGTGAAAGTTCGCTCTGGTTTTGTGAAATCTCGCGTTTTTTTAATATTACGTAGTGTTTTTCAATTATAAATTGTTTATTATGTTCTTTATATTATTAATGTATTAATAACTAGCCATTACTCCAACTTCATTTGCGTGAAATCTTGAGTATATTTAGACACGTGAATTTAAAAATACTTTGTAAAAATTTAATTATTTAACATTTTTATATTAATATTACAATGAAATGTACAGTAAAGCCTATTTATACATTGTGTTTTGTACGTTCAGGAAGAATATTGTGATCAAGACAAATAGTTCTATGCTATTTATGGAGCTAACATTTCACTTTCAGAAACTCGTTCAATTTTGTTCTTGTAGCTTTACACTGCTCCACGAGGGTTTTGAAACTTCAATGATAATTGCATTTTTGAGTATACACTTTCGGTGTTTTTTAATACTCAGAGACGAACATTCATAATTAATTTTATATTTAATGTATAGTATGAATAAGGTGAACATTTTCACTAACAATACAATATTTTATAGAGCAGTTGTAGACGAATGGTATTGTAATAAGTTTACATATATTTTTATAACTATTATTAATTTTCTTCAAAATATAGTACCCATTTCGTACACTTCTGAGTGTATATTGGAGTTCTAATAAATACAGTAAGGGATATTAATGCCAATCCGGGTAGCAGAGATTGCTAAGGCAATAGTGCTGTGGTGATCTCGGACCGTAGGATCTTGGGTTTGAATTCCGCCTCGGGCATGGTTTTGTGCGTTTTTTGATTGTGTGTTCTGCATATTTCATGAGCTTGTATGTTCCCTGTGGTTGGCATCAGGAAGGGAATATGGCTGTAAAATCCGATGTACAATCATCCCCAAATCAGTACAAAATGGAGTGTACGGAAAAGTAATAAAAAAAGCTTGCTTCCATTGGCACCGACCCGAAATGGAAAAAGGCAAGGACAAAAACAATAAAGAAAATAAACATGTTTTTATCTCAGTTCCAGACTTGAAAGGCGTTACGCAGTGTCATCTTCAAATTTATCAAATTATGAAAGGTTGTGTATCGTCATTTCGCATGCTGCACCTTATATCATCAAATTGATATATCGTTTGCACCAATCATTTTTTAAGAAATTTCAATATTTGTAACTTTCTCTTTGTCACTTGTTCATGTAGGTAATTTACTAACATATTGACAGTTTAATACTCGTAATAGGAACCTCGTAACACACATGACATGTTCCGCCTGCAACCATTAACATCAAATTTACTCAATGCTCTATTGTAGTTTACGGATAATGCTTCTCTCCATAAAATTACATAAAAGTATTGGCTTTATTGTTTCCCATTACACATTTTAATTACATTCTATAATGGCATACTTCCCCGTGAATTAAATTTTAAAGCCAATTTTGCGATTTGCATCCGGCTGAATCAGCTTCTGCCCATCAAGTTCTTTTATTTAACAAATATCTGTTAATTACATTTTGTGTCAGGCTGTTACACTCGCCGGCGCACAAGTGGCCCCGAATAATTTGGTCCGTTAACAGTTTCATTGAACTATTTGCGAAACCATTCAGTTTGATAATAGGAGGTAACGTGAAACAAAAACTAATTCTACGACTGCGTTCATTATACAAAAAAGTAACGATTACTTTATATTGCAATCAAAACAATAATTACATTTTTAAATTTAACATATATTTTTTTAGTTGATATGCAATATTTTGAAAACTAAATTAATAAGTACGTGTAATATAACCAGAATATCGAAAAAAAGCTTACCTGGACAACTTTAGTATCTTTTTCCAAGTTTGTTTCTAGTGGCACCAGCAAATCCACGTAAAATGCCTTAAGCTGAAATTAAAACAATGTGATAAAATATCTGAAAATGAATAAAATATAACCTGAAACTTTTACTTATGAATGAAAGTTATTAAAATACGTTATATAATTACCACAAAAGCGAATAATGTATTGAAAAGAAAATGTTGAAATCTTTGCGTTTATTTCATAAACGGTTTCAATTAGAAATGTAATATATACTTCAAAAATGCTGCTCTAAAACAATCTTAATGACATTTCTAGCATAATGTTTTGCTCAAATTAAAAATAATTTACTGTACCAGCAAATCAAATTAAAATTATAAAATGAAAAAATATCATTTTTTAATTGAGTATTCTGTAGATTTGTTTCACATTTTAAAGTGGTAACAAGAAAGTGTCTACAAGTCTACTCAAATAATAAATGCCCAACATTCGACTACCATACTCACGATATTCATTTGCTGATTCTGGATCTCTTTGTACACTTCCACCACCTGTGTAAGAGCGGATCCTGAAAGAAGAAAAAAAATCCTATTAAAAGATTTGCAGTAAAATATTAGGCATATTAATGATTTTTTCATTTATTTCATTCATTTATTTTCTTGTCTGAAATACGAATAAGATTTCACTTCGAAGTTCGGCAGCCATAATCTTAAATGTGTCTCATGTCAGCCCTCGGTTGCAAAGTACACACGTTGAGTTATGATGAAAATTGTTGTCAGTTGGTGTGGTTAATAATTTATGAGCCTGAGAATGAAATATGATGGTTCGTTTGATTATTTCGTGGTTCTGAGCACATCAACTACTCAGGTAGATCCCCGAAGATGTACTTCTTATTTCACCTCGGGAGGTAAAGGGGATCTTACCCTGCTGGTGAAGTCTGGCGCGGACCTACACGTCAGCGAGCAAGGTTTTCTTGAAGCAGGTATCTCCTACCACCGGGGCACCGTCCCAGCCAAGGCAAGTTCTATGCTCTCGGCTGGTCTCCTGACATATGTGGTAGGGTAGTGCTTGTAAGTGTATATGTAACTAAAATGGCGACGATAGAGCAAGAAAGAGGAAGCCAAGATCGGGCCCGGTCTTGAACTTATTTGTTACGGTACTGCTCCGGCATTCCCCTGGAATTGGCTGGAGGGACCTCGAATGCCGAGTAGATCAATCGATTTAGAGAATTCTCATCCAGACACCGACTGGATTCCACGTAGCTTTCTAGCTAGTGTCGAAAATCCATCACCGTTAATATCGAACCCCGTAACTCTATCGGTCGCTACATATTAAGCGGCTATGGTCTCTCAGAGTTAACACAGTCAGTAGCATATCTCAAACATTATTAGAAATGGTGTGTAGTGGATTTTCAAGTTGTTTTCAAGTTGATTTTTAACCACATTATACGCTATTTTATTGACGTGTCTTAGCCATTCTACTTTTGAAGACGAGAATAATTTCAGAATTAGATGCGCAAAATAAAATGTATGCTATTAAAAGATTTAATAATCTTTACTTTCACGACTGGCGGAGAAAAGAGGCACTTACTTTTGCTCTGCCAGTGGAGATATTCTTGACAACGTGCTCTTTTGAGTAAAAGAGCAAATGAACTGCTTTGGAATTAAATATTAACTCCAGAGCTCTCCCTTGTTCTCTGGTGAATAATAAACACAAGGGGGAAATAACAGAGGCGACGTTAAGGTTGAAGGGGAAAAATGAAGGAACAGCGACCCATCGCCACAGACCAGTTAATGCGGCAATTGTTCTGCAAATCAGAGACGATGTGTTCTAAATTTTAATTTAAATACCATTTCTATAAGCTTTACGTGATGAATCTGCACTTCTGTCACGCATTTTAAGTAGTACTTTCTTACAAAATCACAACAGGAATAATACGTAATTGTCGACAAGGACGTACAAGTTAAATAATTCGACATCCAATAAGCAAGTACTCTGCTTTAAAAGTAAAGTAAACAATTTAAACGGTAAGATAAACGTACATGCGATGTGATAGCACCATCCTCTTTAGGTAAGGGTCTCTTTCCGGTCGCATCATTACGCTGAAATTATATGATCTTCAATAAGTGCATAAATACTCCATGATCAAATGGAGTCTCTTAGTGGAATGTTTTATCATTCCTCCAACTCATTTAAAAACGAACTTTGCTGATTTCTATGGCACAAATATTTACAAATTGTGGTAAAATTATTTCCACATCCCATTTATTAGTTGAATGTTCTTTCACAAATGATGTTAGGAAAAACTTTGAAAAAATTGTTACTAAACAGTAAAAAATATTAATGTAAAATATGAAGTTTGCTTTCGGAGAAAACTTTTGCGTTCCCTAGAAACTAATTCAAAGTAATTTTGAGAACTTTCACTCACAATTGAAATAATTTATACAATTTGCTGGAAATGTGCATATTAATGGTGTGAGAGATATTTAAAAATTACACTCGCGTAATTTTTTAGAAAACAACAACAAAAGATTTCAGAAAAATAACTTTTAAGTCATTCTTAAACAGTGTTTTCTGCACTATCCATAGAAAATAAATTGGAAGACAAAAATTGGAGGTTTAGGAGAAAATGGCGTTTGAACGTTTCTGAAAATGCGGAAATTTGAGCTCATTTTCACAGAAAACTTTCGCGATTTTGAGACATTATTATACATAATTTAAAGCACTTGTTTTAAGGAATTCGATAATGTATATAAAGCATATAAATAGCAAATAAGTGAGTGACGTAAAAGCATTACATTCTCGTAATTTTTTAAAAAACAAAAGAAGAGCAAAATGACATTTATATCATTTTATACAGTACATTGAACACTACCTTTACCAAAGGTTCAAAGAAAAAAATTGGAGTAGTTTTGAGAAATTTTTGTTTTTGATACTTTGTAATGTTGCTCATATATCACAGGAAGTTGCGCAAAAAGTCTACAATTTTACACAAAAATAAACCTAATTTTAATGAAAGAAGTAATTATGAAGAACAAATTGATTTGAAGCGAATATTTTATCTTCAATTTTGTAGTTGTTGAAAGACGCTGAAAAATTTCAAACTTTTGCAATTTTCGAAAATTTGGATTTAACAGAAATAACCTTATCTATGCTATAAAGCATTTCACTCTATCCCTATAACAAATTTAAGGAAACAATTTGGAGCAATTTGTGAGAATATTTCATGAACATCACAGGATCTTCATGTAAAGTATTCCCAATATTTAGAAAGAACGGTTTTCAAAATCGTAGAGCTTTCAGTCAATCTCGACTGAGGTATCTCAGGCTCGACTGAGGTATATCAGTTTTAAAAGTAACCTATGAATAGTTTAGGTGTTAGTGATGTATAGAGATGGACGGACGGACGGACGGACGGACGGACGAGTAGACGGACGTTTTGAGAAAAAAAACAATATTTCGGTATCAGACACCCCCAAAATGTAAATTTGTGTTGAAATCTGAAAAAAAATTTCCTCCGCATTTCATAACTTTCTCTATACTATATATACTTCGATCACGCGTTTCTGAGTTGACAGCGAAACGTCCGTGATTATACAAAACACCCGCGAGAGTAACCAATGCGAAATCCCCAACGCATATTACTCCTAAATACAGATATGTCATTCATTGACTCACGTCTATTGCGTTAAGAACTCCAAACGAATTTCCGTTTTTATTTGGCGCATTGCACGCGCGTTTCATTTATCTAGATGCTGCGTTGTGCTTTGCCTTCGCTCCCCGCCCTGAGTGGAGCGTCAGCGCCGTGGTGGCCTAGGGATGACACTGAAAGCACCCTCCCGCGCCCCGGGGGACGGTCTTACAGGGCCTCTTCAGAGGAGAGCGCGAGAGTGCGCAGGTCGCGGGGGCGTGTCCTTGAGGAGGCTGGAAGATCGGGTCGAGAGCGGGCCTGGTCATGCGAGGACGAGAGAGATAGATGAGATGCGAGAGAGATGAACGCGATATCCAGAGCGGGGTTTGTAACTCGTAAGAGAACGAGTTGTACGGGAGCGGCGCGGACTGGGGTACACACGAAAGAGAGAGAGAGAAAGAGAATAATATAGAGAAAGAGAAAGCAAGAGAGAAAGAGAGATAGGGAGAGAAAGAGAGAAAGAGAGAAAGAGAGATAGGGAGAGAAAGAGAGATGGAGGGATAGATAGAGAGCGAGGACCATGGCACTGTAAGGATATGGCTAAGCAAGACGACTGATTGATTGCTGTTCCCGAATATGCCCACTGTTATGATCAATAGTCCCGGTAATGCCTTATACAACGATGTGACTGTGCCCCTCCCTTCCTGAAAGTTGAGATGCAGCGCCGAGCTACACGTGTGAGGATTTCCTCCAACAGGAATCTCCCCAGCGTGGTACCGCTGTTTACGAATATGTCCGCTGTTATGATCAATAGTTCCAGTAATGCCTTATCCGACGATGTGACTGTGTCCCTTCCTTCCTGAATGTTGAGATGCCGCGCCGAGGTACACGAGTGAGGATTTCCTCCTGCAGGAATCTCCCCAGCGTGGTACAGCCTCAGCCGGAACGCAATCTTAACTCCTCACTGGTCTCCAACATGTGTGAAAGAGCAGTTGGTGTGAGTAAAGTGAAAGCATATCGCAAAAAAGGGAAAGGAAGGATCGTACGCGGTCTGTACAACATTTTTTACAATAATTCTCCGATATTTGCCTTATAATGATTGGAGAAACCACGAGAAATTAGAGAGCCGAGCAGTCGGCCGCTAGAATTCTCCTCCATGCTGTGACTGAATTTGACCTAGATTTATAGGCAGTGTAAAAAAATCCGCCATCGTGGAGACTCAGAAACTCGGTCCCGTCAATTGGAGACGCTGCATAGACAGAGTCAAAGCTAAAATAACTCAGCCAGTCCAGTCGGGGCGAGGATGGACATGTCGATACGGGTAGAGCCGGGGACGGCTCAGCGGAGGGGAGGAGGTCAAAATATCGAGTGAACAAATGCTTGGTTGGACTAACGATAGGACGATTGCGATCGCAAACGATAGGCCGTTTTGTTAAGTCTTTGCAGTTTTAGACGAGTGGTTAATTCAGCGAGTAATGCGTCACGTGAAAATAAGGTGACAGTACGTTTCAGGAGGCGTATTCTTCAAAAGATCGAGCGGTTAAGCAGAAGAATGATTGAGTTTGTGGGCGTTGGTTGATGACGTGGAGTGAGTGGACAATCCGATGATAAACGTGTAGAAAAATAACGCGTGGGTGCACGGTTTGGCTTAGATGAGTT